GGAGCCACGGGATTGACACCGCAGGATGGAGATGGAGACTGAAAGATCCAAGGCTATATCCACCTTGCAAATTGGAGAAAATTGAGGAAGCGCCGAGGAGCTGGAGGGAACCATCGGAGGCAGAGCCGAAAGACTGAGTGGCTTTGGACGAGAGGGAGAGGGAGGCTGGGCGGGATTTCTGACGACACAGGTGAATCAGAGCTGGGCAGAACCAGCGGGGACACAGGAGATTCAGGGCTGGGTGGAACCAGCAGAGACCAAGTAGATTCAGGGCTTGGCGGAACCAGCGGAGATACAAGAGATTGAGGGCAGGGCAGAAACACAGACTCAAAGTGTGGTGCCGGGTGAAACAGACTCGGTGCAGGGAAATGAAACATAGAAAACTCACTCACTCTCCCAGTCAATTAGCATCTTCTGCCGCTGCTGAGGGGGTAGGTCTCCATGACATCCCCTCATACTCCACTAGTAATCTCACTGGCACAGGCAATTTTGCCAGCTCACACACCTAATCAGACTTCTTTGATTTGGTCAGATTTCTTGTTCTGGCTTCAGCTCAGGCTCTCCTATTGCGGCAGGCTCAGGCTCAGGCTCATTGTCTGCGGTGGACTCAGGCATCATTGGTGGTGGGCTCAGGGATGGTAGTGGCTAGAGCGCCAACTTCCTCCTCACTCTTACAGATGGTGAAGGGGGAACCATTGTGGAGGAGTACCCACTCCACGTACTCCCATGAAAGTCCCTAGAGGCTCATTTCCAGGCTAGCGCAGTCTCGCTTTAGCATTGAGGCTTGTCTGGAAAAGCACAAACAGGCAGTCGTCATCATACAGGACAAGATGGCAAAGGCCTAAAAACTCCTTTGTGTGCCTACCTAGGGACCTGTTTACCCTGTGAGAGGAGGAGGATTTGCTTTGCTGCTAGATCATTATAATTTGGTCCGCTTTCTGTCACAGGTGGTTGCAAAAGTAGTAGTTGAAGCAGGATCTATTTACAACAATATTAAAATTTATTAAACAAAACTCAGGATGCATGAAACACAGGACAGAACCAAGTAGAACACAACAATAATGAACACAGGGCTTAAATACACAGAGAACTAATCAGGTGTGAACTAATCTAAAACCATAGAAATAAACCAGCAGCAGGAAAAATGGGGACAAAAGAAGCTGGGACACAGGAACAACGAAAACTAGGGCCCTGTCCACACGAACACGGGTATTTTCAAAACCGCAACTTTTTCTATGCGGTTTGGCCGTTTGTCCACACACAAACGCAGCATCAGGTCACTGAAACTGAACCTTTTTGAAAACTCCTGCCAGGGTGAAGATTTTCAGAAACTCCGATTGCAGTGTTGTCATGTAACTGGTGAAACCGGAGATTTTGGCTTGTGACGAAGTGCGCACTGTTATCTCCTTTGATTGACGTCAGATTGTGCGCCGCTATCTCCTTTGTTTACATCAGGTGAGTCTGTGCAGTGGCGGACGTAGCCAAAATATTGCTGCTAATAACTGTGCCAACTAGGGCTGCACGATTAATCGCATGCGATTGTCATGCGCATCTCATCAGTAAAGCCGGTTCACGTGCATTCAGATGACTTGGCATTTACTACACAGAGCCGTTGTTCACTGACAAGCTACGCAATATCGCGTTCATAATCGCAGATGAATCGCCTGTGTGTTGCAGCCATCAAAATCAAAATTTGTTATATTTGCAAAATACATTTAAGTTGGTCAGTGAAAACTTTGGAAATATTTTCTTTGTACTTTTGTCAATTAAATAAAAGTTAAAGAGAATTAACAAATCACGGATTCTTGATTTTATTGCATTTTACAAAAAACGTCATTGGGGTTGTATGTTTCACTCTCTGCCTTAAAGAGGTTGTTCACCCTGTAATGAAAAGTTTATCAACATTTACCCACCCTCATGTCATTCCAAACCAAAGAAATTACTTTCTTCCTTCAATATTTAAAAAAATTAGATTCTTTTGTCAGTACAGTAAGACAATTGTAATTTTTGGCTGAAATATCCCTTTTATGTATGTATCTATGTATATTTTATGTATGTATCTTATGTATGTATCTCCCTTTTATAGGTGACTATACTGTCAAACATATTAATCTGAAAGGAGAAACGTGAAGAGGGCACAGAGAGAGAGAGGACTACAGTCAAAGACAGGTAAGGAGAAGAGCCGGCCAGCTCTGCTGACTCAGGACATTTCAGAAGTGTTGATTTCCGCTCCATTTCTTCAGCCTCTTTGTAATTCTAATGAGAGTGTAAAAGGTGTCAGGAGCCAGAGAGGGAGTAGACAGAAGAAGATAGGGTGAAAGAGAGCAGATCAGATTAAATATCGACTGACTTCAGGCTGTCTGATGCAGACAGGCAGTGTACTGAGTCATCTGTATACCCTGCCAGCTCGGCTGAGAAGGAGAGACAGAAAGAGGATGAGCAGACACAGCCGGGAGGGAGAAGAAAGAAGAGAGGAGTTACCCAGGGGAGTGTGAGGAGAGCAGTGAAACGTTGGGCTGGTGGGGGAGGAGAGACCAGCATAAGTAGGCGAGACAGAAAGCATGCTGTCATGTAATGAAGGGAGTGAAAATAAAAGATGGGATGAGAAGAAAGAAAAAGCAACAGTGGCTGAACAAGAGGCTGGATGGAATACAAAACAAATACTGGATCGAAACTAGGACCGTTCAGATTAACATTTATTAAAGAGGCTGGAGATCTCTGGGAAATGAGAGAGAAAGGATGTTTATAAGAGTATACCAGTGTAACTATGCAGGGCTCCAGACAAAAAAATCAATTAAGGAGCCATTGGCTCCTATAAGAAAAAAACGTAGGCGCCAAATTATTTTTTTACGTGCCACAGAATAAACGTGTTTTATTTATTTATTTATTTTTTTTTTCCAATTCACTCATTAAAATTAACCTTTGTGGAACCAAAAATGGTTCTGTGAAGAACCTTTTAAAGCACCTTTATTTTTAAGAGTGTATGTCTTCCACACTTTCAGTCTGTTTTTCTTAATTAGTAAAATGCAATTTTATAGGAGGAGTTGAATCATGTAGACAACAGGTTAAGTAAAAATATGAATATGCAATAGCGCATAGATATAGCAAAATGCTCCTCTTTATAGTTATTTTTCTTGCTAACTGATGAGTTTATGGACTAATGGACTAATTAATCTCTGAGGTAAATGTATATAACGTTGCAATGTTTACAAGCTTTACACTTTTTCCGCAGTTTGAAACACTGAATGAGCTTTTACATGAGACATTTCAGTAAGTTGTGATGTAGGCTTTTTTATAAAATAGCCTACATTTTGATGTTAATTCATGTTTATTATGTAGCTACTAGTAGTAAAGAGAAAGATTAAATGGGTTCACTTGCCGCTTTAACTGAGGCGCTAAGGCGATCGCGCCTGCCGCATTAAAGAGCGCCAAAACTGTATTTATTGTTTGAATTTCGTTATGAATTTGGAATAATTTTAAAGCCGATACTTTTTTTATTAAAAAGTAACAAAGCACAAAGCTTTTTGCGATTACTGGACGGCAAGTGAACTTCAAATAATATAAAGTTCACGCATTAACAGAACAAAGCATAGACTAAGATCTTGTTAAGAAGAAGCCATATTAGTAATGATTATAAGTGAGAATTGTTAACGATATTGCCAATATCCACACAGCTGACAGCTTTACATGTTGTAGTTTGTTCAAGTTGTGCACGAAATAGACACTGTTTTCTGCACTTTCACTTCGCACGTGTCCATCATTTCAATCTCTGTCGCGCTGCACAACTGAGCTGCGTTTAGCAGGTGTGCTACAATGCTGCTGTGCAGCAGAGATAAGGACTGTTTGAAACTCTTTTTTTCCCACTAAAACTCTGATGCGCCCGCATTGTCTCAGTTTAATACGTGAACATAACAAAAGATGTGATCGCAAAACAATCAGTGTGCGACAATGCTGCTGTGCGGCAGAGATGAGGACTGTTTGAAACAATTTTTCCACTAAAACTTTGATGCGCACGCATCGTCTCAGTTTAATACGTGAACATAACAAAAGATGTGATCACAAAACAATCAGGAAAAAGGCATTACATGCGATTTTTTAAGTTATAACCTATATAGTCGCCAGTGGCGACCTCAGCAAAAACTTCACTCGCAATCGCAAATTAATATTTTTGGTCGCAAATGCGACCGTTTTAGTCGCAGTCTGGAGCCCTGCTATGCCAACATCTAGATCTTACAAACAATATGGAGATGAAACAATGGATTGTAAAAATAAAAAGGAAAAGAAAACACCTACTTCAAAACTGACCCTTATAAGAAAAGTAGCACCTACTAACTAGTTACTCAACATTGAACAAAGAAGGGATATAAACAAGTCTATCTTAAACAATAAATATAAGAAAGTCAAGCGTTTAGTGTCTGAAAAAAGGCGCTATATTGTCTTTACACTTTTTTTTCTTAAGTTAATATTGCTGTTTTGGCTGTGTGCATGTATATATATTCTTTTCAATTCTTGTTTACATTTATTGTGATTTTTGTGTGAATATATTTATGCCTCTGATCCCGTGGTCCTCAACCAGGGGGCCAGGACACATTAAAAGGCCCCAGCAAACTTCCATTGGGGTCACAGGATGACTTAAAATTATTCAAATTAATTTATTATTATTATTATTAACAACAACACAATTCATATTACTATACATCATATAATCATATATGTATTCATTTGTTCATATATTCCTAACATATTTACTTGACAGTTTCTTAGCCAAGTATGCAAGTTTAAGTGCGGCCACAAGATAGAGACAAATGAAAAACAAAACGCTGAAGGGAAACACTGGAGTCAAATAAGGAAATGACGTGAGGTGTGCAGTATTTCTGCTTTGGGGAGCCAGGAGAGCTGGAAAAGCTTTCATGGGGCAGTTCTGCAACAGTTGTTCAGCTGTGACATGACCGATTTTAAGAAACGACTGTCAGCGAGAGCACGAAAGCAAAGGTACGTTACCGTTGTTAAGACACAAAAAGGTCCGCGAGAGTCAGCGGAAGCGTGTGATTTCGAACTGGTCGTGTGTTAACACGTGTAACTTTTTGTCACCACCAAATAAAGCCGAAAGACAAGACACCTTTAACGACAGCACGGTAGTAGGATCACGTGTGTGTCCTTTTTGGTCCAAGTCAATCCAGTAAGTAATGAGAGTGAAGGATAAACATAGAAGCAACTGTAGCTCACATTGTTCAATAATTATGTATTACTCTCTAAATATACCTATTTTTTAGGCAATATACTTAAAATGTTTAGTGAGTGTGGATATTGATATATTCCGTATGCCCTATATTTATTCATGCTTACATTTTTGTTAGTAGAGCACATGTTGTAATAACTTATCTTAGCAGTCATCTTGTGAAGTGACGCTTCCTGACAGCTGAGCTCAGACAGCAGAGCTACATTTGGATCCAGGTGTCTCTGAATATGACCGTGTTAAAGCTACATATGCTTCAGCTCTTTAGGTCTCATTACAGGCTGAATATTTGGCTCTTGACCATTTCATTTAATTATATTCTCATTATCATTATCCATACAACTCCAGCATTGTCACACTGACGTTAAGTCATTTATTCAGTGAATGCATGACTAGTATTACACATACTATGAAACTGATAACATTTGGCATTTGTATATTTATTGTAATGTGTGCAATGCTAGATGAGGATGGTTGTGCCCAGGGTTTTCCCACATAAAACAATGAATGAATGATGTTCTGTAAATATGATCTAAAGCAGCCTGTATTGTGAAAAGCACTAAACAAAAACTTGACTAATAGCAGTTGAGTACAAATGTTTCATAAGAAGTTTGCAGCTGATTAATTTTATGCATTTAAATGCATTTTGCACTGCACATAAGCTTCATCTGAAGTAACATATGCCACAAAAAGGTGCAGAGGCAGCATAAATGCTTTCACACTGAAACTACAATTACAGAAATAGTTTTAAATATGAAATAATGTATATAGAAATGTGCAACAGAATTGAGAGATTACATGTACTGTATACTTTTACAAATATGCAAATACGATAAAAAATTATTACAAATGGTGAACAAGAAATCTGACTTTCTCACTCAGATCTGTTGTAAAACTATCTTCTTTTGATCTCTGAGGTCAGGAGTTGCACAAAGATGGAAGACTGTTTGATAGAAAACCAGACAACCTTTTACTCAAAGGCAGAACACTATTGGAAGGAAGTCCCGCCCACCGTGGATGGAATTCTGGGAGGTTATGGCAGTATTTCCAGCATCGACATTAATGGCTCCAAAAAGTTTCTTCAGAAATTCCTTGGGGTGAGTAATTCTACATTAATGCACTGACAATTAATACTTTTATTCAGCAAGGACACATTCAATTGATCAAAAGTGACAGTAAAGACATTTTATAATTTTACAAAAGATTTCTATTTCAAATAAATGCTGTTCTTTTAACCTAGATGTTCATCAAAGAATCCTGAAAAAAAACTCACCGTATCCACAAAAACATTATACAGCACAGCTTTTTTTTTTTTTTACATTTAATAAGCACCAAATCAGCATATTAGAATGATTTCATAACACTGATCACATGATCATGTGACACTGAAGACTGGAGTTCCTGCCATCACAGGAATAAATTACATTTTAAAATATATTAAAATAGAAAACAGTTATTTTAAATTGCAATAACATTTCACAGTATTACAGTTTTTTTAATCAAATTAGGGCTGTGAATCTTTGGGTAGACAGCGAATCGATTCGATTCAAGATTCATAGGTATTCGATTCAAGAACGATTTTTGCAAATTCAGAACGATTCAATTCGATTCGATTAATGATTCGATTCTGCATTCTTTAAGTGCATTCACAGGATTATTTAAATGCTTCCCCTAAATTCTTTAAATGCTTAGTCAGGGGGCAAATTACACAGCGGCCTTTATGGTTACAGAACCATATGTTAGAGAAAAAATAAACACTTGTGCATTGTTAGATGCTAGTTTAATGATGCTATGGCATGACATGGCATATGTAGAAATTTATTTAAGCCATGATTTTAAATAAGAGCTTAAAAAGTATTATGTATAGGCTAACATTTTGTCACACCAGGGGCGTAGCCATCATTTCAGAAGTGACAGAAATGTCAAATACAATAATTTTATGTATGTATTATTATTGAATTTTTTTTTACAAGGAATTCTTTTCTTATCTCTTACTTTGAATTTGCTATAAAGTGAGAAAACTTCTTTATCTCATTTTCATAAAATAAAATGCTATAGTTATTACCTTTTCCTCTCCATCTGCAAATTATGATTCTGAAAGAAAATGTGCCTGATGTCTGTTTGCTGTAGCAACGAACGCTACTATCATGCATCTGATTATCAGATAAACCTCTCGCTCTTATTTCAAGGTTGTTGTTAATGCTGTGGGTTGTTTTAAGTTTCCTTCGTACATTCGGTTTAACAACATTGTTAAAACACATTTAACATTCAATGGAACTGTGCCTATGCTTTAGACACATTTTTGCTCCGTCCATGCAATAAATGCGCAGCCTTCGACTGCTCAGGCAATGTCGTCGAGAGCCACTGAAAAACTACAGAAAAGTAAAACGACTTCACTTTAGCATTACTGGCCAAGAGTACTAAGGAGAGATCACACATCAGCTGCTCAAAAAATGTGTCAGTGAGACGAACGGTTCGACTGCTCAGGTAATGTCGGTATGACCGAGAGCCATTGAAAAACTACAGAAAAGTAGAACTACTTCACTTTAGCATTACTGGCCACGAGTACTAAGGAGAGATCAGATCACACAGCTGCTCAAACAATGTGTCAGTGAAACGAATGGAGCGCGAGCGCAATCCTGTGACAGTCACTGCAGGTGGTAAATAGTGCAGCGCGTGAAGCAGAGATGCGAGGGCACGAACACTGTTCAAGGTCTCCATTAATTCGTGCTTGTAGTAATTTAATGTGTATATATTTTGAAAGCATTGAATCGCTATAGAAATCGCGATTAATTCGATTCTTAGCGTTTTAAATCGATTACTGTCCGAAATCGACGATTCAAAAATCCATGTTTCAAGACCGATGCATGGCATCGTCAGGGTTTGTAATCAATGCATCGAGAAAACGAGTGAATCGTTACACCCCTAGATCAAATGAATACAGCCAACAGTGAAGATAAGAGAATTCTTTCAAAAACATTTTTTTTTTTAAATCTTACAGACCCCAAATGTTTAAACGGTTGGGTAAATATTCTTTGCAAGTCTACGATTCTGAATTGTAGTTCACTGTTAGGTTTTTTAAAATTAAATATTTGAAATAGTGATAGTTTGGCTCTTTTCAAAGATTCAGCTCTTTTGGCTCGGCTCCCTTAGAAGAGCCAGCTCTTACGGCTCCCAAATGGCTTTTTATTTAGTATCACTCTGAGCCTTCTATTTTAGCCCAATGTAGCAATTGTGAATGGTTTGTGTGTTGGTAAGCAATTTTTTATTCAGTGTTTTCATAAAAGCCTTATTTTTATAAATTTTTTTTTCATTACAAAAAATACTATTATTATACTATTATACTATTATTTAACATTTTAATAAACTTTAATAATAACACTTTAGTCTTTAGGGCAGGTTGGCATTCAGAAATATCAGATGCCTCAGCTTGGATGTGCTGATGCGATTTCTCCTCTCTGTGATTATTTGTCCTGTTTTTGAGAAGACTCTCTCTGAGGGGACTGATGTTGCAACAAATTGCAGTGTCTTCCTACCTTAACCAACGCGCTTGCGTTTAAATCCGGCTCCCCCGTCTCTCTGTCGCTCTGTGTACCTGGCCTGTACCACTACACTCGCTATCTTTGGAGCTTGTGTCCCCCTTCCTTCTTTCACATAATGGTATGATCCTAGTCTGTCCTCCCATGTGATTAGCCGCATGTGTATTTTTTATTCTTTTTTGTAACGAAAAAATGCATAAAAATAAGGCTTTTTTTATGACACTAAATAAAAAATTGCTTACCAACACCAGTGTTAATTTTGACAGGCATTTTTGATTTAGTCTTAGTCTTTATCTTAAAGGGGTCATATGATGCTGCTAAAAAGAACATTATTTTGTGTAAAAAACACATTATTTTCCACATACTGTACATTATTGTTTCTCCTCTATGCCCCGCCTTTCTGAAACGCGTAGATTTTTACAAAGCTCATCATTCTGAAAAGCGAGATGTACACTGATTGGCCAGCTATCCAGTGGTCTGTCCTCCCATGTGATTAGCCGCATGTGTATTTTTTATTCTTTTTTGTAACGAAAAAATGCATAAAAATAAGGCTTTTTTTATGACACTAAATAAAAAATTGCTTACCAACACCAGTGTTAATTTTGACAGGCATTTTTGATTTAGTCTTAGTCTTTATCTTAAAGGGGTCATATGATGCTGCTAAAAAGAACATTATTTTGTGTAAAAAACACATTATTTTCCACATACTGTACATTATTGTTTCTCCTCTATGCCCCGCCTTTCTGAAACGCGTAGAT